AAAACCACCTTTTTGCGCAGCACGTGCACACACACACACACACACACACACTCACATCTTAAAAACAGAAAATTATTCCCTTCCCGTTCCTGTTTCCCAGCCATGTGCACCTCCAGTCACTGTTACCACTTTTTTACATATTCCTCCAGACATATTCTATACATATATATGCAAATACATAAAACTTTTAAAAAAAGTCACAAACGGTTGCAAAATACAAAACCTCTTTTGCACTTTTTGTTTCACTTAACATATCTTGGTTATTACTCAGTATTAGCACACAGAGGGCTGGCTTGTTCTAACAAATGCATAATTTCTTTAACCAGTCCTCTACTGAACACTTAGGAACTCTCATTTCTTGATAGTCTCTTTCAGATTAGATTCTAAGAGGAAAAAAATCCAACTGACTGTAAGGTTTCAATTAAGAGATTTAGCATGCTGAATGTGCAATTGGAGTATTCCTATGTAACTTATCTACCTCCATGTTCTTATTCACTGGATACACAAATTAATCCTAAACGTCCCACTAAAATATTCCAATTATGAAATGCACAATATGTGTATTTCTCACAGAGCTATTCCTGGTCCCAGAACCAAGTCAGCCAGCATCTACCATTATTCCTTGCTTTCCTTGTGAAGGAGACTCTTCTACAGATTACGTGTGCTGTGCGCTGTGATAAAAAATTACCATTTGCAGTTTTTCCTTTCTAAATATCGTCCTTTCAATCAAACTGGTTCTGAACTAACTTGATCATTTTCCTTCACACCCTCCTACCACCTTCCAAGCCACGTTGAAGTTTTTCAAAAACCATCTAGTACCTTTAAAGGTGCCTACCATTTTCTAAAGAGTTAACTAGAGAAACTAAAACTGTAATGTAGTTGCTTCTCAAAAGTGCTTAGGATACTTGGTGTAACAGGAAAAGATGAGCCTTGGCATATGTGAATTTCACCACTTACCCCAGCTAGGTTAGCTTGAGCAAATTACCATCAAACTTTTAGGGGCCTAATCTGAAATATGCTTCAAAAAACCACTTCCCGTTACAGTGTCTCATCAATTTTTGTGAGAAACCTGAGTGTGTCTGGCACAGATGCAGCAGGTGCTAAATATATCCTAACTGAATCTCAATATTATCTTCCACTGTTTCATTCACAACCAAACTGGAGAACAGGGATTTAAACAAATTTTACTATTTCCCACGGGCTTTAGAATAGTATTGGGCTCTTAAGTGTTAAAAAGTTATCTCGGCTTGAGTAAATTCTATATAAACCATTATGGTGGATAAGGCACCTATTTGTTAGGTAAGAGAACTTTCCTTAACTAGCATGGCAGTCCCAAATTTCTAAAAGCCATGGTAATCTCAAACTTCCCAATAAAATGGCTTACTCTGACTCTCAAGGATGATTAAATTGAGCAGACTCAAGCGGGAGCGGGGTGCAAAGTATTTCCTCCCCCATAATTATAAACCGAGATTCGGGCTAAATATTAAACTGACACGTAGTAAACGCTCCATAATTAGTAGCTATTATTAAGAGGCATCCCACCGGGAGAGAAGACGGAAGGAGGCAAAAGAACGGAGGCTGTCAGTCACAAGAGGTTGAAAGGTGTCCCTGGCCTGTGACCCGTAGGCCTTGAAGCACCTGGGTCTACGAGATCCCTGCGGAACCGGGGGCCGAAAGAAGTCAGTGGCCTCCCCTAAAGGTCAAGGTTCTTGCAGGCGCGTTTCCTGCAGGGGCTAGAAGCAGAGCCAGAACGCCCCCGCGAGAATCTGTACCCCGAAGCCAGAAGCACCGCCTGCCTGTAAACCGCGCGGGGTCTGGGAGAGGGGAGGACCGGGATGCCGCTGCGCCCCAGCCTGCAGGAGCAGAAACCCGGCCGCGTCCTGCAGCTCGAAACCTTAGGGGCAGACCACCAGGACCCCGCCGTTCCGGGATGCCTCAACGCAGCCCGGCCCCTCGATACTCACAATCACAGCCGACCCCTCTTACTCCATCAGGCCGCCAAGGTCCCAGGGAGGGGGGTCCCCGCGGCCCCCCTCAGTTTTGGGTCCGGCGGCCCACTCCGGACCCCCTCCCCGCCGGGCACCGCCGCCGCTGCCGCCAGCGCGCAGGCGCACACCGCCGCCGTCACGCTCCTTCCCCCCCCCGCCCTTTGGTGCCCGCCTTTCTCAATAATCTAGCTTTATTTGAACACACGAGAGTGAACAACGGACACAGGGGAAAGACGCTTTACTGGAAAAGAAAGATCAAAAAGGCAGGCCGGCTTGCAAAAGTTACTCGGCTGCACTGAGCGCACCTGTGACTAGCCTCCCTAGTTCCTTTCTCATTCTTTTACTCTTTCTGGGCCTCCCAGTTGCTTCTAATCTCTTCCTAAATCCCCAGCATTCCGTTTATACTGTGGCAATTGTTTAAGCTAAATTTCCAACCATTTTTGCCTTGTAAAACTTACTGAAGTTTAATGGAAGGTGCAAGAGCTTGAGGGCAGACAGATCTGAGTTCAATCTTGACCTAGCTACTAGTAATTTATGACTTTGGGCAAATTACAAGTTTTCTCAGAAACTCAGTTTCTGCACAGTTAAAATTAGGATAATGATATCTCTCAGGGGGTTGCTGGGATTAAATAACATAACATGGGTCAAGTGCCTATCCATGAATGGGTGCCTGTCTTAGAGCAAAAAATCCATGAATACCAATGATTATAGTTTAATACTGAATGTATTTATTTCCTTTATTAAATGTATTCCATACTCATTCCCTCAGGATCCTATTTTTAGTGACTACAGTTAATCAGATAAACCAAGTTACATTAAGATTAATAATGATGTGAAGTGTTACTCCTATATTATTGAAGTTCTAATAATGTCTATGTTCAACAAGATCTTCAGTACCTAAAATCAAAGTAAGCAACTTCCTTTATCTATGTATAAGCCCAGATTTGCATCTAAAGGACTGAGGATCTATTCCAATTCTGTATTTGTGACATCACAATTTCCTGAAACACTCAAAGTCTGAGGTACACTGCTCATTCTACTCTCCTTCAAAGGTGCAATGGAAGGACTATTTTGCCCTATAAGCTCAGGGCCATAGTCCAAGGAAAAGCTTGTAGAAGACTAAAGTCAGCCATTGGTGAACATCAAGGTAATCCTAGATCAGGGTATCTTTTTTTTTTTTTAAGATTTATTTATTCATTTGAGAGACAGAGACAGCAGGGGAGCAAGGAGTGGCACAGGGAGAGGGAGAGAAGCAGACTCCCAGCTGAGTGCAGACACCACCACTCCGAGATCATGACTTAAGCAGAAACCAAAAGGAGGACACCCAACTGACTGAACCACCTAGGCACCCCTAGGTCAGGGTTTCGTAACCTTGGTACTATGATACTTTGAACATAAATTTTTTTAGAGGTGGGGAGGGGCAGAAGGAAAGAGAGAGAATCTCAAGCAGGCTCCACGCCCAGTACAGAGCCCAATGCGGGGCTCCATTTCAGGACCCTGAGATCATGACCTGAGCTGAAATCAAGAGTTGGATGCTTAACGGACTGAAACACCCAGGTGCCCCTATTTTGTAGATAATTCTTGTGCTGTCCTGTGCATTGTAGGATGCTTAGCAGCATCCCTGGACACTAGATGCCTGTAGTATCCTCCACCTTTACATCCTTTACATGCCTTTACATTACATCCTTTATATTACAACTACATGCCTTTATATCCCGCAACTCAATCCCCATCATCTTGACAATCAAAAACGACTCCAGACATTGCCAAATATTCCTTCAAAGGCAAAAATGTTCCTGGTTGAGAACTATGGCATTATCCCAACCATAAATAAACTCAACCAGACATTTTGTCCACTTCTGCCCACAAGAAGTGACTGCTGCTTGAGAAAGTCACACGGGAGGGTAGAAGCTGGGAAGCTCATTTTTACCAATCTTATACAAGCCCACACTGCTTAACAGTCCTACTTGTCTGGGGTCAACTTGTTCTTTCACTTTCTGTAACAATATTCCAAAACTTCTCCACTTTCCTTAAAGCTCCCAACTCCTTTTCTATTAGCAGATGACCTCATCTCCTACTTCACAGAGAAAACAGAGGTCATCAGATGAGAACTTCTTTAACTTCCTTTTACTAAACATAAAACTTACACATATTTCCTCTTATAATTGAGATACCTTCTCTTCCAAAACCATTCCCTCTTCTCCTTTGAAATACTTTTTTATTTATTTATCTATTTTTTTAATTTATTTTAATTTCCAGCACTGTGCTCTATTCTTAGAGGTGCCAGGAAGAGTTCCTGGACCTGTTTAAAGCCCTTCAATGGCTCTCTGTGTTCATAGCATAAAGTGCAGGCTCACTAGTCCAAAAGTGCAAAATCTTCTAAGATCTGGCCCATTGCCGACTATTTAAAGCTTATTCCCCACTTCACCCGGAGATACACCATGAGCTGTAAGCCTCTAACCAGGATGAACTACAAGGCATTTACCGAAGGTGTTATGTTCCCACAGGCTGGAAAACTATTTCCTTCCATCCCAGACTTCTGGCAGAACTCCTACTTAGCCTTCCTGATTGAAAAGTCAATTCCTCTGGGAACCCTTCCAGACATCCCTAAGAATAAGGCTCTGCCTTCATTGTAAGCCAACTTCGCCTCGGACTTTCCAACGCCATACACCATATTCTATCCACTATAATTTGTTTACATATCGATCTCCAATCTAGACAGGTGGAAAGACCCTGGACGGCAGGGAAGCCATTCTTTTCTCCCTCTTTTCTTCAGCGATCATCCAGCAAACGGTTTACCCTTGACAAATGTTTGTTGCATAAATACTTTGGGAGGGATTCGAATTATCCGGTTAACGGGTGAATCCCCAGACTCTCCGCCTGCGTGGCAGGGAGATTTAAACCCCTGAGACTATGATTGGCTCTAGCTGCAGGGGTGTGTCCGCGCCCGCGCGGCCAAGGAAGTGCGCAGGCGCGCGGCTCCGGCGCGCGCAGGCGCTAGGAGGACTCAGCCTCAGGTCCGGTCTAGGGGTGTCCGAGCAGCTGCGGCGCGAGAGGAGTGGCCGGAACTGCTTGGTGAGCCTTCAGAAGTGGGGTTGAGGGAGCTAGCCCGGTTGAAGATTGGGATCAGGTCCCAAGAAGAAGAGTATTATCGCGACGGCGTAAAACTTGGTGGGGCCGGGGGCTTAAGGGGAGGAGTAGAGGTGCTCTGGCCGGGACTGGGCAGGCTGGGCCCGGAGTAAGGACTCGAGCCACCGGGAAACTACCTTGGGGCCGGCGGAGGAAGGGTGGCGGGATGGTGGTTTGTCGGACCCCTACTAAAAACCAAGCAGAGGAAGGGTGGCGGGATGGTGGTTCGTTGGACCCCTCCTCATCCTCCACCCCTACAGTGTTCCTGTGATCGGTATTAATTGTATGGTGACCACAGTGATCAGATAACTCTGAACTAGTTGTGTGAAGGTGTCTGAGGTTCGTGGCGTTGGAGAGTCCATGCTCTCTAGGAAAGTCCATCCTTACGTCGCGGCTTTACTGTAGACTAACGAAGAATCCGTAAAACACCGAATTTTACAATTGCAGGTTGGAGTTGTTCGTTGCGGGGGGGGCAGAGGGAGTATCGCAAAGTGCTATTTCATCTCATCCTTTTTTTCATCATTAGTCACCACAATGTTAGGAAAGGTAGACGAAGGTAGAGGAAACCGAAAGACATCAAAGTTGGGAAAGGAAGATGAAAAGGGAGTATCATTTTGCCTTTTGCTAGTCATCTCCTTTAGGAAGTAGGGGGACGACTGGGAGGGGTGTTTGGATATTAGCTTCTGACAGCCTTCCCTCAGTCATGTGAAAATAACGTAGCTTCACAGTAGCAGATATTTCAAGAACTGAGAGGAATATTACTGCCTCTGCCCTTATGTCCTTAAGACTGGCTTCAGATGTGCTAGTAAAAAGTACAGCAGATAAGACCAAATAGAAATGATTCTCCAGCGTTCTTGCCTAGCCTGGAAAACCACACTTGAAATTCATGGCACATCATTAGCTAGAATACGTTGAGATCTAAACAAACTATTTCATAGTAAGGTTTTTTAAAAATTAATGTTTCTTCCACCATCACAGTTGATGCCTAAGGCATTGTAGTGGTCAGTTGTCACTCATTCCTTTGGCAAGAGGTAACGAGAAAGAACACATTCCTATAAATGTTAGCAAATATTAGGAGAAACATCTCTGCTCACATTACCATGCTCCTTTGACAGTAAGTGTGACAGTAAATAGAATAACCATGTAACAGCCTACAGCTCAGATATTTATCCTATTTCTAGGCTTCTTTTTTTTCTTTTTTTTTAAGGTGCTTGTACGTGGATATCTACTAGACAATTCCTGTTACTCTAGTTCCAGGATAGCAAAGTCTTATTGTGCCATTATTTTCTTAACAGTATGGCACGCTTTCCTATAAACAGTAGTATTTCTGTATGCATCTTAGTGTTTGCTTCTTTTACTCTAAATGAGCTTAAGCATAGTAACAGGATAACTTAACTAAAGGTCACATCATTTCTAATCATTCAGAACACAACCTTGAACCAAGAAGGAAGCAAATACACAAAAACAAAAATGAAAAAACAGGCCCTGTTGTTCATGGGACAGCTGTATTTCACTTCTCATGAACCATACCACTATAATAAAATTTGCCTTTTAGAAGATCATCTGTGTTATTTTATTTCATGTTTTTAATAGACTTGTTTTCAGCACTACCCTCTTCCAAAGTGATAATCTGTGAAATCATGGTTTTTATGTATACCTTTTTATAGTACACATTATAATAAATATGAAACTTCAGTATGTAACTATTGTTTACATAACAACTGAAATCATCTCGTGTTCTTGCTCTGCACTCTGGAAAATACTGCTTTGGAACTAACCTACTCATTTGTAAAATAAACTGAAGATTGGACTAGGCCAGTGGACTTCAAAATTCTGTGAACTCAGTGATGGCATTCACTATTGTGACACAGTTCTAGCACATTTACTTATCTGGTTTCACCAGATGAAAGTAGATTAGAATAGCAAAAGGGAAAAAGGATATTTGCTCTTTGACATTTTTGTGAAATCAGCTGCCTTTTTTTTTCTTCTAAATTAAGGTGCTATGTCTTAAAACATTCTGGAAATTTGTTTTTTATGTTTGTACTCAGTGTTATTTATATTTTAGCATTTATAATATATGATGTTGCTTGCATTCAAGAGTGTTGAACTTTTTTATTCTAGTGCTATATTTCGTTTCTAGGTCTGTAGATTGAGAAAGGACTAGATGACAAGGACTGGTCTTTTTCTTTGTTGTGGTGGATAGAGACTTGAAACAGATGGATCCAGTCCCTTCAACAACTGGAGGAAGTGGATTATAGAGCCAGGAAACAGCATGTACTGCTCATTTTATAATATTGGTGGTGGAGGTGGTGTTCCATTTGCACTCAGTTAAATTCACTGACATTTTGGTTTTGATTTCAATTTCATACTTATATACTTATCAGTATATTTTTTCTGGAATCCCCCCATCCGTCTTGATTTTTGTGAGATATGTAACTTGGATTTAAATTTATTTGAACAATGCTTTGACAGTTGAAATTGCCTTTAGATGGCCTTTTGAGACTTCTAAAATAAAATCCAAACTTCTTGGTAGAGTACACAAAGCCCTTCAAAACCTGTCTCCTGTGTCTGCCTTTTAAAGCCACCCTACCCACTCTGTATACACATAACGGTATATTCCGGCATGACTACTGAGGCCTTACATTGTGACACTTCTTTGATAGTCTAAAATCACAATTTTTTTAGGGTTGATCATGCTTGGATTTTGATACTCAAATCAAAATCACAAGAGATGTTTAATAATTATGAAAGATTATGATAGCTTCATTGAGCACTATATACCAGCCAAGGTTTAAATGCTCAGCATGAATTAACTCAGTCCTTATAATGTTCAAAATAAACATTATATTCTCATTTAATGGAAAAAACTGAAGCACAGAGAAGTAAATTAGGCAGTAGTCAGGATTTTAAAACATGCCTCCAAGTGTTGGGCACTTAACCACTACGCTGTATTGCCCTTTGTATAAATAAGAATGGCACTCTTCTTTTTTAAGATTTTATTTATTTATTTAAGGGAGCAAGAGCATGAGCAGGGGGAGGGACAGAGTGGAGGGACAAGCAGACTCCCTGTTGAGGACAGAGCCTGCCTGATTGGGGCTTGATCCCCGGACCCTGAGATGATGATCTGAGTTAAAGTCAGATGCTTAACCTGCTGAGCCACCCAGGCGACCCAAGAATGCCATTCTTTTTACCTATTGTGGGGGATATTCTTTTACAGGGTCCTGAGTGCTTATGTTCTCTATCTCTGGCATCGTATCAGAATATTTGAGAAGCTAACCAGAAAGCTTCTAGGTGAACTTGGAATCAGAGCCAAAATACTTGGATGACTTGGGTAAATATTTCATTGAGGCAAGGTGAAGCGTTGCTAATTGTCCCTACCTCACACTTGGTGTCTTCCTTGGCAGATACCATACTTAAGTCTGCCGGATTGTATGTCTCTCCTACTTGGAGAATGAATGCTGCATTCTTGAACCTCTTTCTTAACTCGTACAGAGCATCCCTTTTCTGTTTCCATACCCTTTCTTTTAGACAATGTCAATACAATTGATTATAATCACATAGAGATCTACCTTCCTAAGATTATATTCTGGTCACTTGGAGTAAAATTGTGGAAGTTCCAGGGTTGAGCAGGACTTGAAAACTAGGTGTTGGGCTTCAGCAATTAAGTCATAAACAGTACTTCTGTAAAGCTGAAGTGTAATCTTGATCTTTTTGGTTCCTGATTTTTAGTGGTATTTTCTCAGCAGTATGGTTTCTGTCTGGAATCATGTGCTTCAGTGCTCTTTGAAACAAGATGTTTAATAGATATGATTCAGTGGTATACTTATATTTGCATAGTTTTTGAGCTTTATAAGAATGGTTAAAATTGTTCCCATAGAAGGAAGTAGAAAGGAAACAGAGGAAGTAAAATGAGGAAACTAGCCTTGACATAAATAAAGCTCTCATCTGAATGTCTTCAGAAAGAATTAAATTTCCTAACCAGAGCAGGGGCTCTTTTTGGCGTGACCCAGAGTATTTTGAGTATTTTAGAATACTGCGCACCTGTACTTTTGTGTGTGTGTACTTTTGTGAATATCCTTCCTTCCTTTTTTTTTTTTTTTAAGATTTTATTTATTTGAGAGAGAGAGAGTGAGAGAGGACACAAGCAAGGGGAGCGGCAGAGGGAGAGGGAGAAGCAGGCTCCCCGCAAGCAGGGAGCCCGATGCAGGGATCAATCCCAGGACCTCAGGATCATGACCTGAGCTGAAGGCAGACGCTTAACTGACTGAGCCACCCACGCGCCCCCCATGTGTGAACATTTTTAATGTTTCATATTAAAAATGGGATCTAAGCAAAAAATATATTCCTAAAGAAAAACTAAATTCTTTTACCCCATAAGTGATGGTCCATGTCTGAATTTCTACTTTGTTCTCTGTTATCCTTTCTTCTATTTTTTCCGTTTTTTCTCCGTTATTCATCTTTAGAGTCTTCGAGAAAGAGCTGCGTGGGTGTAGCATGACATGATACACAGGTGTGAGATGGGGATGACTGGCAAGACTCACCCTGCTTGAATAAAATATTCACTCCAACCATCCAAAGTATTTTGGCTGTGATTCTAAGTTCACCTAGTAACTTTGTAACTTTTTGATTAGCCTCTCAAACAGTCAAATACCACAGATAGAGAACATAAATAACGTGAGCACTGTGCTAAACACTTCACATAAATTAATTCATTTCTGAAACAACATTGGGAGGTAGAACTGTTATCCTAATGAACAAGGAAACTGAGACTTGACTAGGTTGAGTGAATTGCCTGGTTATCAGAGCTAGGATGAACTCAGGGTCTGTCTGACCTCAGGGTCTGTGTTATTAACCACGACATTTTGTTCGTTCAACACAATTTATTAAATTATCTCACCTAATCTAAAAGTAGCAAGCTTAGTCACAGGAGAATTAATCATAACTGA